CGGGGACCGGGGTTGGAGAGCCCTGATCTGGGGTGACCTCTAAGACAACTGTACGGCCCTTCAGTTCAGAAATATAGATTTGTTTATTTCCACAGTGTTGACACACAACAACCTCCAAAACGGACTGCGTTTCAAAGTGCTCAGTTCGGGGCGCGGACCCCGGGGGGCCCGCCTCACGAGCAGGTGCACTGCTTCTTCCTGGCCGGTGCCGGGTCCCGGTCCCGGTCCGGGTCCGGTCCGCGGGTGTAGAACTCGCAGCCGTGCTCCAGCCGGTTGCGCTGGGCCATGCTCTCGACCTTGTCCAGCAGCCGGGGCACCTGGGCCGGGTCGCCGGCGGCGCCGTTGTCGAAGACGTGGTAGCGGCCGCCGCACTGCTCCACCAGCCGGGCCAGGTACTCGTCCTCGCCGAAGAACTCCTCCACGGGCCTGCCCTCCAGCTCGTCCGCCTTGGTGAAGAGCACCAGCGTGTAGGCGGGGCCGCGCGCCCCGAACAGGCCGCGCGCCGCCTCCAGCGCCGCCTTCTCCTCTGGCCCGTAGCGCTCGTCCAGGCCCACCAGCAGCAGCAGGGCGTGGGGCCCCGGCGCGCACAGCGCCAGGCTGCGGCCCACCTCGGCCAGCAGCGCCTGCTCCCCCATCTGTGTGTGCAGCAGGCCCGGCGTGTCCACCAGCGTGAGCAGCCGGCCGTGGGCGCGGCCGGACCGGCGCTCGCAGTCGTGCGTCACCGACTCGCGGCTGGCCTCCGAGCGGAACTCCGGCCCGCCCAGCAGCGTGTTCCCCGAGCTGCTCCGGCCCGAGCCCGTGATGCCCAGCAGCACCATGCGCAGCTCTCCCGCCCCCTGGGCACCTGCGGAAGAGGGGGCGTCAGCGTGGAGACCGGGGAGCAGAGCAGCGGACCAGGACCGGGGGGGCTCACGACAGCCAGGCGGCTCGGCCCGCGGGTCGATATATGACACACAGCAAACTAATTGCAGAACACCGATCATGAACGCTGATCGAATGGATGTTCGACTATTGTTTGGGGGGATTTCTAACGGAGCGGGTCCGGACCGGGTTCAGGTCAGTACTTTCAGAGTTTTAAATCGGGTCGGGCGGGTGCAGGGTCAGAAAAGAAGCCGACCCGCGCATCACCAGCGCGCAGGGTTTACCATTCTTGTCGTTTACGCTACAACACGGCTGGTACCACGGCGACGTGGTTATAACCATAGTATAAGCCGGTAATTACAATGTCATTACCAGGGTGCAACCCAATCTGAAGCCCTGTCGCTGTGGGAGAGGTACTGTAAGCAGAGTGAGCACTTTCTCTGTTCCAGTTGGTAACCCCCCCAAGTCGAGAGGGGTCACGTGTGACTAAGAGAAACTGGCACAGATCCTAGATCACAGATCCTAGAGGGAGGGAGGGGCGTCTCGTTAGCTCTCGTTAGCTCACTGGAGCATGACAGACACACACCCCCACAGCAGGCAGAGGGTGCCATTCCAGTCCAGTCCGGAGCACGTCTTCGGCACAGCCGGCTGCCCAGTGACAGGGCCGGACTAACCGGCAGGCCGTGCCTGAATTTCTCTTGGGAAGAGCCCAGGGAAAACTCTGCGTCTGGGAGACCCGGGCAAGGGAGCTGATCAGATTGACTGTGCACACCTCCTCCCCTCACACTGACCCTGCGCCATCTCGTCTCTCTTAGTGTCTCCTCCCTGTGCTGCCCTGCCCTGTGTCTCACAGCTCTGCTGGCAGGATCCCAGCTGCTGTCTCCCACACGCCCAGCAGTCTGTGATTCAGAGGACTCAGCGCGGGGCTGGTTCAGAGTCACAGCCTCCCGGGCTACAGAGGCCCTGCTGACACAGACAAAGGGATATTCCCAGTGGGAATCCTGTCGATGGTGAGGAATGGCTTTTTCGGACGGCTCTCTCTGCCTCAGCTCCTCCCCCTCTCCTACAGGAGCTGCACGAGGCTGAAGAGAACGGTGGCCACCCTCTGAACTGCAGGCTCTCCGTCTCCAGCGGAAAGCAGGCTGGACTCTCAACACACCCTTTCCGGTTTCTCCATCGCTACAGCCCTGGAGACTCCAGGACAGCAGGGAGAATCTGAGTCCTGCTCAGCAGCACACGGAGCCCGACCAGAACCGGGTCGGCGCGCGGCTCTGAACAGGCTGTGCCGCGTGTCAGCGGGCCTGACAGAGCAGCTCTTTGTTCTCAATCCGCGCAGGAAAGAGGAAGCAGAGAGACGCACAGGCAGGAGGAAACAGCCCTCAGATCGCACTGCTGCCTCTCCAGGTGCTGCTGCAGCTCGTTCTGCCCCAGTCTGCCCCAGTCTGCCCCAGTCTGCCCCAGTCTGCCCCAGTCTGCCCCCTGGCTCTGCCCCCCCACCAGGCAGAGCAGCCTGGAGACCATGAAGAAGAGGCCCTGTCTCACACCCTCTCTGCCCTGAACACAGACACTCTCCACCGTGACGCCACACTGCCTGAATGAACAAGCCACACCAGAGCACTGGACACAGCTGTGTGCATCCAGACCACCACTACAGCCAATCTCTCAGCCTGGGCAGGACAGGGGCTCAGACTGCAGCCCCACTAAAGTCTACACCGTCTACAGGCTGGCTCGGAGCTCCTCAGTCTCAAGCAGAAGACCACTGACCTGCCATAGTGCCTGCGGTGCTCCTGAGCCGGGGAGAGGGTGCTGTCCGTGTGGCGCAGGAGACGGGTGCTCAGTGCGTCTGGGCGCGCTCAGCCAGAGAGCAGGCAGGCAGAGCAGGTCCTGAGCGCAGGATTGCGGTCTCCGAGAGGTTTCGGTTCTAGCCCTTGTTTATCAGAAAGGGAGGCAGGTCCACAGGAGTCCGCCCTCTGACGTAGCTCTGTCCTCCCTCCCCCTGGACTTGTCTGCAGGCAAATGAGCTCCTGGATTGTGTAGACAGAGGTTGGTGAGCAGCGAGAAGAGATGACGTGGCAGACGTCACGGGGAGGGACTGTCAGGCTGGTCTTCCTCTTTCTGTGCCAGGCTCACAGCTCCGCACACTGGCCCACACTGCCTCTC